GCTTCACATTTATCTTCATCTCGTACAGTGATACAAATAATTATTAGAGAAAGAGAATATTGTAAAGTTCTTATAATTATAAATAAACTTGCGTGTTACTAATTATTTTAATAATTCAATTATAGAAAATTGAAGAAGAAAAAATTTTGAGTATTATTTAAAAAATAAAAATAAGACATAATGAGTCTGATCTAATTCGCCATTTTTATTAGTAAATGCGTTCATTTATTTTTAAGATTCTGCAATATTATATGAAATGTAAATTATATGCTAAATGCACATTTAAAAATGCATTTTTTTATAAGAAAGAAGTATGAATATGAAACAAATATCTTTATGCAATTTTTATAATTTATATAGAATGTTTTCATATATAAATGACTATCCTTTTATTTTATAAACTATAGGAAGTAATATTTATAAGTAATTATTACGCTCATCATAAAATTCAGAGTTCAAAATCACTTAATTTGATATAATATTTATTAAATCTATCTCCTTTAGTTTATAAAATAAAAGTGTGTGGTATGTTATACAAAAAAAACCTTGTATATTATATATTACACTAGCTATAACTATAATCATAATCAATTACTAACTTACATCCACGTACTTCTATAATTAATCGTCAATTGCGCTTTAATAATCACATTACTTGCATGTGCTTTGTCGACGACATTTGTGTATTGAAGTGCGATAACGTGGTTTGCACATCTCTGATTAGACGATTGATACAATGCCGCTTAGTTACATATGCATTACAATGCGAATTGAAAGACAAATCATCAACGTAACTATTTATTATTTTTTGTAGCTTTAAAGACATATTTTTAAACGATTATTTATATTTTTTCGACAGATATTTTTTGTCTGGACGTTTGATGTGTATGACAATTTTATATATGTATAACAATTATTTTATATATCCAATTAGTAATTGTTCTTTTTGCTTAATCATATACATAATTCGTCGAATTAGCATAATTTAATTTTAAAATATTTCTATAACAATTTTAATATTTAATTATTAAATAATGACTAGAAATATAAATTGTAAAACTTTATTGAAATTCATAATTTAAAATTTTTATATGATATATATCATTACACTGTTTACATATCTTAAATTTAAATTAAAAATTACCGTTTTTAAAAAATTATAATTGTAAGAATAAAATAAAAATTTTTAATTAAAGTATACACGAGAAAAAAATATAAAGAACCGAAAAATCAATTATACTTTTATTTATTTTTAATACTTTTGAGAGTTTATATTAAATTAAATTTATAAAAAAGTATAAAAAATTCAAAATCAGATAATCGTTAATTCAACGAATGATTTCGCACTAGAAATATAGGACAAGTGGCCGCGTGGACAAGCGAGGGACAAAAAATATTTTAATATTACTCTTAAATTTCTTATTTTTCCCGAATTGAATCTTCGCACGTAGATTTGTTCGCGAGGCCACTGGCTTCAACGTCGACATGAGGATAGGAATTCACACGGGGAACGTGCTGTGCGGAGTTCTTGGCTTGCGGAAATGGCAATTCGACGTGTGGAGCGACGACGTCACCCTGGCCAATCACATGGAGAGTGGCGGTCTGCCAGGGTAAGACCGCTATTTACCGCTGTCGTGATCCTCTCGACCTGTATTGGTTTACAGATGGACTGACACCATCGTCGTAATACGTGTAACGTTTAACTATAGTATACGATACCACGTATTGGACAAACGACTCTATTGTATATTTTCCAGAGTGTTGAGTGTTAGCACTTGAAATATTTTTTGTATGTATCTTTGTGACAGCAAAATTTTCTCAAAGGGGAAATTTTCTATCGGGGATTTCATTATTTGGTGAAAAACTGATATAATTTTTTTTTTATTCTTTCTACCTTTCGTGATGATCGATGCACTACTCTAAAGTTGCAAAAACTGTATTAAGCTTACTCTTAGTATTGGTTTTTTTATATTTTAAAGTGTAATTATATACAGACAATGCGATTTTGATGCATCTTACTGTACGTTTAGTAATAATGATTCTTTCTTTTACAATAATAAATTATTGTGCGTAAGAATAAAAAAGATAATTGTCGTTTAAATTTTTAGTTATAAATGATTTTGTTTTCAATTTTAAGGAGAGTTCATATAACAAAGGCTACTCTGCTGCAACTGGGCGATCGGTTTGAGGTTGAACCAGGCGATGGAGGATCTCGAGACGGTTACCTTGCACAGCACAAAATAGAAACTTTTCTTATCGTGCCATCCAAAGTAAATGAAAGCTTGTTAAAAATTCATCATTGTTGTTTAAAATTTATTTTTCGCAAAAACCTTAATTCGTCGTCATTTCGTCGCCTATTCTGATTCGCCTTTTCAATTAATAATCAGATTGCTGGATTCTTTACTTTCCCAAAACAAATGACATTGTCAAAAGGATAATGCGGCCATGCAATCTATCTTCATTTATTTGTTATAATAGTAAACGTATTTTATCTTCGTCGGTGTTAATTAAAGAAATTGAGCGCGAAAATTGAATTATAAGAACAATTTATTATAGCGGTACATTAAATTGAACAGAATATTAAATATTAATGTTTTTTTTTTTCTTTGATATAAAGAGAAGTATAAACAATATTAATGTATTATAATTTAAGATGTAAAACATGTTGAAAAGATTGATGACTCTTAAATACGTTTTTTATCTCTTACAAACGACAATATCAAATAATTTATATCAATAGACAATTTTTATAATTCTATATAATTTTCTATTACATTTTATATTATTACAATTTTATATTATTAAAATATATATTACGAAAAATATCTTGCGAAAAGTTATACTACTAACTAAAGTTATGCTAATAATGATCTTAATTATGTAGATAGAGATAAAACGTCGACGAGAATTATATAACGATTAACCGCACAAAAAGTTGAACAAACTACGGCTTCTTTATGAAAAGTAACAAAAAAATCTACCGTTGAATAATCTATCACGTCACAATGTGACGTTAAAATTCGTCCGTGGAGGCAGGAAATCCGAGTAAATTAAACCGCGTCTTATTTCTTCTATATAAATGAAGTTTGGAACGTAATGTTTCATTTATCGCCTCAATAAATATCTCGGCGAAAACTCGTTAAAAACTTATTCAAAAACTAGTATGTTTTTGAACAAGTTTTAACAAGTTACGTGTTTCCTTTCATAAATTTAATCACGTCTTTTATTTGTCGAAAATGCTCTTTTCTCAAAGACATTATAATTTTGCAAAATTGAAATCTCTTTTGTATACTAAAGAAAAATTTTTTGTAATAATTAAAATTTCTTTCTTATGGATGAAGTGTACTTATATTATTCTACGTATTTTAAAGATACTCATTCCATAATAATAACAGTTTGATGTTCGTCGGTTCAAACTCATTCGCCATACACTTACTATAAAAAAATGTGTTTATAGCGATAGATGTTTTATGCATTATTTTTTCAGGAATAAAAAATATTTTTTCATTTGAAAATGCTTAAAATAAAAATATTCTGATGGATATTTTTTGACAACAATATTAACACATACAGTTGCATGTTAAAAATAAACTATTATGTCTTGGTGTCAAGAAAATGTAAATTTGTCGACAACTCTTTTTGTTTTCAATTGAAGAAAAATCGAGAGGAAACTGGAATGGAAAATGGTGGAAATCATATAAAAGGACCTGTACCTTCCAGGTATGTTCTATTATATAGTCCTGTTAAAATTCAATTTCGATCAAATCAGAATTTATGCAGAAAAAAGAAATATAAAAAAAATTACATTATAATAAAATCTTTTTGTTAAAAGCTTTAGATATTAGTATTATATTTTATATAATTAATTATAAATAAAAAATTGTAAAAAAAGATAAACATATACTCTATAGCAAAATTAAAAAAAAAACATTAAATCTCTGCAATAAAATTATCGATGTCTTTGAGCTGATATAACCTTGTGAAAAAGAGTTACACAATAATGTTCTTGGAATCTTTTTAAAAGACCTTTCCTTTCATCCTCATATGAATAAAATGAAGCTTCCTCAAAGATACTTTCGTACTAGAAAACAAAAAAGGAAAGAGAATTCAGGAAGGATTTAAACTTAAATTGAAAATTTAGCATATTTAAACGATTCTATGTAATTATAAGAATATTCTTCGCAACTCGAATTTGCAAAAAAAATAATAAATTAATAATAAATTAAAAATAATAAATTTAAAGATTAAAGTCTGCTTTAAAACTGTCTCCAAAATTAATCTGCGATTTTTCGTCGTTTTATTGCTAATTTTTTTTGAAAATGACAAATATATTGCTGGCATTAGTGTGACATAAGATCACAAAAAGTTTGCACAGGATTTGTACATACATCGTATACGTGTGTGTTTAAAAATAACATAAAAAAAAACATAAATTTCTCATTCGTTGTTTTTCTGTGCACACATTGATTGGTAAACGATTGGTTTTTAATTGGAGCGTGCGCGCGCGCGCGCGCGTGTGTTTACTATTTTATTAAAAACAACACACATTATATTATGAAAGAGCATATATTACAGACAATGTTAAATTATTAACATATTCAATAATTTATTAATAATAATATTTATAAACAATATATTATATATTTTATATCAGGTCCAGGCCCAGTAGTAAAATGACAAAATACGTGGAATGTTGGGGCGCAGACAAACCTTTCGCCAATATAGCGGAAGCAACGTTAGCAAAGAATATTGGCCTAACAGTAAGAATTACTATTTTTTTTTTCAATAAATAGTTTTAAAAATAAGTTTTAGAAATAATTAAAATGCATGCCTTTTTCTGACAGAGCATCGCAATGATTGAGTCGAATCTATTGGCGAACAATACCAACTGCTTTAACATACAGTGAGTTATAAATTACTTAATATTATTATATCAATTATTATATCAACAGAAATTGAGATTATTCATTTAACGTCAACATTAATATAACCCAATTATTATCCATTAATACGTAGATTTAATTAGAATAATTTAATTAGAATTATATCATTCCGTTATGTATATTATACAGGATTTGTATGTAGCTGTTCTGCTATTAAAATCAATTAATTATTTCAATTTGTTTAAACAAATATAATTTTGGAGCGATAATTCGCAAAAATCGTGCTCATATTAAATCAATGATAATTTGTAACAGAAATGTTCTCGACTTTTATGTACAATGTAGACACTGGTGCGGCAGAACTGAAGGAATTTCGCCTTTTACTTATTGGTTCAAGGACAAAAATCAAGAACAGCTGTATCGTGAGCAGAGGGATGAACAATATCCTTGGTACGTTGTGGCCTCTAATGTGATTTATGCAATGATGTTCTGCATTCAAATTATCTATTTACCAAGGTGAGTTTTTCTGTTGCAAATTAATCGAATATTTAACTCACTTTATTCTCTTTCTTTTTTTTATAGAAGATTATTTTATTACAAAGTACATTTTTAATGCCATAACTCCTAAAATCGCTGTTAAATCTCTTTGTACATGCCTCTAAACGGTCCGTAATGCCTAATGCCTAATGCTGCTTGATCTCTGTGATGGAATGAAATCTACTAATGGACACATTATGTTCCCTGTGGATGTAGCAGATATTATTTGATTTCATCCGATTACAGAGATAGGCGTGATTACTATTAGAATCCATGGTAGGATTTAGGAAAATCGTGCGATGTTATGAGGTCTGTTCCTTTTAGCTGGATTTCTTGTACGGTTTATCTTCTTTTTTCTCTCCAATGTGGAAAAAGATATTTCATTATTTTTTTTTTTTTTTTTTTTTGATTACACGAATATGTACACGTTTCTTTCATTTAAAGAGACATTTTATTACCGTACCGTAAAATTATTTTTATTAACCTTTTCTGACTGTTCTACGACGTTAACATTCATAATAATTTTATTCCATATTTTAGCTATAACGCAACATCAAGACAATATTAATATATTTTTTTAATAACATTTTTATAAAGCTTCTAGTTAATGTTCATTGATTTGTTTTTTAAAATTATGAAATAGCTATAATTAATCCATATAACTTCCATAAGACATCTCCATAGATGTTCAATGAAGGTTTAATGGAAATTAGAAATGTAGAACTATGTGGAATTGTTTAATAGACAATGGAAGTTATATAGACTTCTAAGTAGTTATGAAGAACCTCCAGAGTGAAAAACCGATTAAAGATTTCTATTTTTTGTATTATAGATATTTAAGAAATGGTTATATAGGTTATAATGGTTATATGGTTCAAAAAATGTTTGCCCTTGAAATGTCGTGAAGCACCTTTTATACACAAACTTTGCAAGTATATAGCAATACTGCAGTGGGTTGCTACGATCTATGAATTAATTAGCTTCTATTGATAATGAATGGTGCTGCCTCCGTTATCTTTTATATACAATATTTATGAACTATTTTCTTTATAATTTAAAACTAAACTTTGAACAAAATGTTTAGAAAAGAAAAATTTTCAGAATTAAATTAGACATTTTAAAAACAAAATTATTGACTTAGCCTATAAAATATTATCAACTTTTATTTAATTAAAAAATTATTTTGAAAAAAACAATAAAAAACAATACAAAAAATAATAAAAATAAAGATGTATTGTTTAGATATAATACTTGACAAAAGATTATGTTTAAGAAAGCCTCGTAAATTATATATATAAATAAATAAACTAAATTAAATGAATGTTCCCAAAAATTTAATATCTTAAAAATTAATTTCCTCATTTATTTCCGCAGAAGCATCATAGTTTACGGTTGCTTTGCAGCTGGATTAGCATCCCTGATTATATTTGCCATGATTTCTTGGTACAATGGAAAGACCGACACTGATAATATTGAAGAAATAACGAATCAAATCGCATTTAGCCGTGGTATTCGCATAACAGTATATTTGATAACGGCACTATTAGCCATCGCATCATCAGTCATCAGTCTGGTCGAAGTTGATCAGATTACTGGATACAATATCGTACCTGTGCGTATATCCAAAATTAGATCATAAATTATTTCATAAAAAAGATATAAAATAGCATCTAGCAATATTATTTTTGGTGCTCAAATAAATCATAATTACCTTTATAATTTAAATATTAGCAGTAAATTTACAAATATATATACAAATTAAGTATTATTAATATTAAAAATCAGAAATTTAGATATATATATATATATATATATATATATATATATTTAATAAATTAATTTAACTTTTATCATTAATAATAAGAAAAAAAACAATAAAAATATTTCAACAATTTATAATTAGATATAATTATCATATTTACAATAAATAAGGTCTATTTATCTATTTTATTATTTTACATTTTTTAAAGAAAATATATTCCTCGTATTTTACAAATTTTTCATCTTTTTATATTATTAGCTATAATTCTATTATTTACCGTAATCTTTTTTCTGTTTACATAAATTCTATTTACATTCCTGATAAGACAAATATTTATGTGTTTATATACTTATTATTCGCTTTTAACAAATAACACATTTTTTAGGTGTACATATATTCTCCAGTCATAGCATTAATAGTTGGTTGGGCACATCTGAGAGTTGATTTTTTGCTGAAGTTAAGCGTAATGCTCCTATCCATTGTTGTAATACTCGTCATTTTCTCTCAAGCACCAGTAATCCAACTGTATTACGAAAGCTCTGGCGCAAAGTAAGTGAGATACTCTCAAAATATAGACAGCAAATGTTATAACTCGCAAGCTTATAGTGCAAAATCTCGCAATTACGTTACGTAAGCTACATTCCGTTAGATTTTACAGCGTCCATTATCTGATGCAAATTGGATATTTACTGCTACTCGTCAGTCTGATACTTCACGTTCTTGACCGACAAGTAGAATATTCATCCAGGACGGATATTCTGTGGAAGAGCAAGCTCAGAGTCGAGCAGGACGAAGTGGAAACCATGAGAGGCATCAACAAGATTCTCTTAGAAAACATTCTTCCAGCGCATGTAGCTGATCACTTTTTAGCTACAAGAACTACACAGGTAAGCTTTCCAAATTTTGATTTTTGGAATTATCTTCATTGTATGGTTAGTGAATTAATTCGTTAAAAAAAAAAAAATAGATAATCTTGACAAATTTAAGTAGTTAGATATAATCATCAGAATTCTTTTACGTGATTGATACACGATTAATATTTTTTAATTAACAGGAACTCTATCACGAAAGATATAGCAGTATCGCTGTAATGTTTGCGTCGATTCCGAATTACAAGGAATTTTATGACGAGACCGACATAAACAAGCAAGGTCTCGAGTGTCTACGTCTACTTAATGAGATTATTTGTGATTTCGACAAACTCTTACTCAAACCGAAATTCTCGGGAATCGAAAAAATTAAGACGATAGGTAGTACTTACATGCTGGCATCTGGCCTAAGTCCAGGAAAGGAAGATGGTGATGGCAAGGTAAGATCAAACTTTAAAATAGGAACTTTGTAACTTATTTAATTTTTTATGAAATCTATTCTCAAGTTGTTGAAAATAACATTATCTTTATTGGTTTCACACAGGATCCATTAAAACAACAAGATCATAATGTAATTGTACTCGTCGAGTTTGCCATTGCACTTATGACAATTCTGGATCAGATCAACAGAGATTCTTTTCAAAGATTCAAGTTGAGAATGGGTAGGAATTGAAAATAATTATATAATAGCAAAAAATAGGACTAATATTATATTATTTGTTATTGTATATACGTATTATTATTAAATTTTATTAAAATACATTTTTCTAAATTAAAATCATTTAATCATTTTAAAAAGAAAACAAATGTTTTAAATAAAAAAATTACATACACGTATATTAATATGTGCGCAATCGTTTGTTTAATTCTCCGCAAAATAAATAAAAATGAAATATTTTTCATCGCAGGCTTAAATCACGGTCCGGTAATAGCGGGAGTCGTAGGAGCTCAAAAACCGCAATATGACATTTGGGGAAATACCGTGAACGTTGCTTCCAGAATGGATAGTTGCGGTGAAATGGGAAAGCTTCAAGTCACCGAGGACACTGCCAAGATCCTCATCGACGCCGGATATGAGCTTATTTGCCGAGGACCGACGTACGTGAAGGGCAAGGGAACTCTCATCACGTATTTCGTGAAGACACCTCTTGACGATAAAGGGGATAATTATTAACAATAAGACATTCGTCGAAGAGATTTAAATAATCAAATTTTATCTCGCAATTAAGAAAAATTTACCTCACTGGCATGATTGATCCTCATAAGTTTGAATGTATATGAATATCCAATGAAAAAATAACGGTAACATGAAAAATTGCAAAAAACAGGATTTTATTTCATTTAAATTTGCATAAAAAAATATGCATATCAAATCATTGATAATATATATATATATATATATATATATATATATATACTAATAGTAGT